TTTTTGCTGTACACAACCTAAAAAAAGGTTTCGTAAGAGATGGTTCTGTTAGTGGGTACTCCGCAGAACCTCCAAAAGGGTCTGTCTAATTTTTTACCCGTTTTTTGAGACTATGGACACATTTGAATGCTTTTAGAAATCTACAGAACCTTTTCCGGGGGGTTCTGCAAAAGTCCTTTTTTTTAGAGAGTAAAAACTGGTAAAAAATCACTATTAAAAATTATTAAAAATTTCATTAGTATTTTGATTGATGGTATGGGAACAAGTAATCAGATCTAGTTGAAAATGTCAAGAAATACTAAACTCACTATCCTCTATAACATATAAAAAAATCAGCGAATTCTGAGAGGTGCCTCCATCGTGGGTGTCTGAGTCTCTCAGAGACTTACTCTTAAGCAAATCGGGGCAGGATCTACGAAAAGGGTTCTATGGTATGTATGGTGAAAAATCAGTATTTTGGATTTTTCTCGTGCATAGTTTAGGCTGTGAAAAATGTAATTATATCATTGGATAGAGCTCATTGAGTCTACTTGGAACAAGAATATGAGTTTTGAAACAAGTTCCTAAGGGAATTGGGGCAGGATCTATCGTACAATGCCCATAACTCATCGGCTATACCGCTGATATTTTTGACTTCTTGACCACCTAGTTTAAGCCATTGAAAATTCATTTATACAATTAAATAGAGCTCATCTTGTTCTACTTGGAACAAAAATAGAAGCTTTATAAGAGGTTCGTAAGCGAATTGGGGCAGGATCTATGCTAGGTGCAGCAGGACTTATCCAGGGCTGCCAAATCCAAATTTAGAAAACCAGGAGTTGGCCAGGAGATCCTTATTTGAAACCAGAAGAATAAGTAAGGAGATTTATATTAAAATTAAGAAACTTTTCACTGTCTTTTTTCGAAAAAAATTGAAATTTTCTTTAACGCAAGCAATTAATATTTTCCTCAGTGATAACTATGGAAATGTTTTACACTGTGGAACACTAAAACTCCTTCAGTAGCAGATACTCGATTAAGTTCTGACGTAGTTGAATGAAATATTGAATGTATTGCTTCTGCTACAAAGAAGAAATAATTATAACACAATAGGAAGATTTTTCTATTAAAATTGTAAAGAAAATATTACATTTGTTTGATTCAATAGATTTAAGACACTTTTGATGTTTTTTTGTTTTCATATGATTGTTTACATCAGTCATTCCACTATTTTGAATTGAAAATTGAATATTACATGGAATGCATAACGCTTTTGTTGCATCATTTTTGCACTCTCTTAAAAATGAAGAATATTGTGGATCAGATAACCATTCTTTTTTAAATTTTGATAGGTAACGTTTAGGCACTGTACGAGATGGTAGTGGTAATGAAGTTTTAGATTTTAAATTATTTTTTAATGAATTAGATTTGGCTTGTGGCACAATATTTTCTTTTGATGAATTCGCTATTTCAATAATTTCATCTTCTGACAATGAAGACATTCTCATAAATACTTCAGATGTTCTTTCTTTTTAT